TGTATGCATGCCTTTATACATACATACATATGTATGAGGGAATATGATTGTGCGGGTGTGCAGATCTCAATAATACTCCCTAGGGCCTATTCTAATATGTTAAGTAATGTGTAACTCAAGGAATGTATATTTTCACACAAAACTAGCCTTACAGTTCGTAAACAATTTTGATAAAGCTGAAATATACGCATTTGTTTTTTTTTTTGTTTATTTGGAATTACTTAATTCCATATCAACATAATATTTTTATTGAATTCAGTAAAATTTTTCAAACATTTTCTCGTTTTTGTTACTCATACATGATTTTCTCAATGTTTATGAAGCTTTCTGCTGTTGTTGTTGTTGTTGTTGTTGATGTTCAGTTACTTTCTTGTTGTAAGTTCATTTTGTTTAATGTTACATCTTATGTTTTTTCTTTCAATATTTAAACTTTGTCATTGATTTATAGTTAAACTTAAACAATACAAAAGCAGTATTTGTTTTTCATTCATTTTTTTGTTACACATAAATATATATTTTTTTAAATTTACCATGATTTTCATTTTCTTTTTTGTTGCTTTATGAAGGTTTTTATCTATAATTTTCTTCTTTTTTCTTCAATAAGTTTTTAAGTCTAAATTAAAGCAATTCTGTTGGGGTTGGTTTTTTACTTGTTACACTTGAAATAATTGTTAAAACAAGCTCAAATTAATTGTGTTTATTGTGTCCTTTTTATATTTTGGGGTATTTTCAAGAACTGCCTTTGGTACAGTTTCGTTAATTTGTTGTTATTTAAAATGTAATCTTGAGAATTACAATTCTTTCAACTGAATTATGTTACCTCGCCAGGCAAGCTTTTGGTTTATTGTTGTAAATTAAAATTTGTTGTCATCGTACTTAAGTATAGTTTACATGCTGCCTTTTAGATTTTACCATTTATTTAACATATGTTTGCATACATAACTGTATACCGTAATGTTACATCACTTAATTCTATATATTATCAATGTAAATCATAAATCAACTTTTGGTTTTATATTCTTTTTTTTTTAATTGCCAAAACCAAATGGGTTTGCAAATGATATAAAAACAAATTATTCGCAAGCTTTTTATTATTAGTTTTTTCATAGTTTTTCTAAAACATTTTTAAATTTTTTTCTTTTTGCTTTTTGCTATTTTGCGCTGCGCTCTGCACTTGTTGTGAGAGTTTGAATTCTCGGGCAAATTGTGATCCAAAGAAATGCACACTTTACGCTGAAATCTCTTGAATACTTTCTCAAAATATGGGCGTGGCAGTGCTTTAACTTAAATACTCAGTCGTAACAGGGCAACTTGAGTCGATTGAAATGATTTGATGAATTTGAACTTCTTGAACATATCGCTGTTGCCTTAGTTGTTTAACCATTTGCATTGATTGTTGAAAAGTTTTGAAAGTAAACAACTGCCACATTTGTTAGCTAAACAATTCGTTGATTTTTATAATACATATAGCAAGCCTTTTTCAAGAACTGGTTACTCAATGAAGCAGCGGCAGCAGCTCGTGTTTGTTTTTTGACAGCTGCGAAATGTGTTGAGAAATTTTCGAAAGTTTTCCATATGAATTTTCAAATAAGTTGTGTAGTTTATGTTTGTTTTTATTATTTTCAAATCAATTTTGAGAAGTGTTGAACATTTATTGTAGTTGCCTTGTGCTGATTACGTAACTTGTTGTTGTTTACACACAAAAAGAGTTTTGTTGTTGCTTGTTTTTTGTTATTTTTAAAGGTTTTTTTCTTCTTTATACACTTGGTGTAAAAAATGGCAGTTTATATATACTTGTTAAAGATTTTTTATCAAGTGTGTTCTAGTATTTGCCGCATGCTAAATTGTGCAAAATATGACAAATCTTTGGATCCGCAAGCCATTCTTTTTTTTTTTTATTTATATTTGGTATTTTGGTTTTTTTTTTTGTTGGTGCCTTAATTCAAAAATTAATTACTAAAAGAAATCTGTAGCCAAATTTTGTTCGTAGTTGAAAATTGTAATACACGCGCTAAAGGGTCAAACATTTACTTGGCAGTTTTTATATATATTTTAATTAAATATTATTTACGTTTTAATACTCTTTAATTATCATATATTTTTTATAGCTTTTGTTACCCTATATAAACTACTAATATTTATCGGCGGTTTTGGGAACACACTTTGCCCAGGTTACAAAATTAAAATCCAAATCAAACTATTGCCTCAAGTGAAATTTTGTGCGTAGTAATTCGAAACAATGGCAAAAAAAAATTAATTTTGAAATTTGCAAAATTAGCCTTGGGATTTGAATTTGTTTCTTAAGTTTAACGGCTGCCCGCGAATGCATCAGAAAATAAAAAAAAATTGAGTGAATCTCACAACTCGTGTTCATTTAATTTCATTTATTTAATTCTTGCAGCATTTTATTTCACTACTTAACTAATTGCTTTAGTTGTTGTTGTTGTTGTTTCTTTGTTGTTTTCTGCATTTGTTTAATTTATAGGAAAACATGCACTAGAAAATGTTGTTAGAAAACTATTTGGTAAACAATTTGTTGAATTTTATTTATTTAAAATTGGTTTTTTTTTTTTACTAAAAATGTTTTTCCATTTTACTTGTATCTAACTGAAACTTTAAAATGAAAATCTACTTTCGCCGGGAACCAGGGGAAAATTCTTGAGCTATCAGGAAATTTTGAATAACATATTATGTCTTTGAAATGCTTGGAAAATTCGGGAAAGTTTAGCGATTAGCATATGAAAATTTTCCAAGTTCCCGGCAAACAGGCCGCACAATTAGCAATTCGACCTGCATTTGCATACGATTTTCTTTAGTTGTTAAATTCATGTAATAAAAGTAATTAATTGTTAATAATATTTTTTTTTAATATATATTTAAGTATAACATTTTCCATTAAACTATTATTTAGCGATTCTGCTGCATGTGTAGCAAAACTTTATAACATTTCATGTTTAATTTTATAATCATTTTCCGTTTTTGTGTTTTCCACTTTTCTATTTTCTTGTTTTCGTGCTTTTGTTATTCATCAGTTGCTTCTTACATTTAGACTAGCGCTAGTTAAGTGGATGGTAAAAGGGGATTAGTTATAAAGCTTGGTATGCCATTTAAGAGATTTAGCTTTTATTTTTTATTCGATTTTTTTTATTTTTGTATTTTTTTTGTTGCTTGCTTTTTGTTTTGTTTTTTCATTTTTTTAATGGGGCGGGGAAAGGTCTCAAGAGAGCGAGAAAATCGTAAAGCTAGTTGAGGCCTATTCATGAAGATGTCTTTCAAGTCGAGCTGGTTGCGGAGAACGAAATATAGCTAAGAAATTGAAATTGAAATTGAAATTGAAATTCATTAAATTTTTGGAATATACCAAAACGATATCTTAAATCCAGATCATAAAGACTTGTGTTTAAAGTAGTCTAAGCAGTGCGTGGGTGTATGTGTGTGTGTGTGTGTGTGTGTGCGTTCTGGGGTCGCTTGTCTTGTGACCTTTTTTAGGGGTTACCGCAGCTGCTCTCTCTCTCTTTTAGTTTCCCCCCTCTTGTTGCCCACTCGCCTGCTTTGCGTAGAAGCTGCTGTGGCTGTGGATGGCTGTTGAAAATTGCGATATCGAAACGGTTGGGTTTTTATTTAGTTAAATTAAGTTCGTTTTTATTATTATTATTTTGTTTGTTTTGGGGGGGATTCATTGTATACATAATATATTTTTAATTTTATATACTCCTTTTGTTTTTATTGTAACCAGTTACTCTGTACTTTACTTTCAGCTATATTTATCGATTTTTTGCCTCAATTTTTATATATTTTATTCATGTTTTTTTTGGGTCTTTTTTTTTTTGGTTTGGTTTTTTTGTTTTTTTTGTATATTTTATTTTTATTTTCATGCAATTTTCACATTAATGATTTTGTTTATTTTTTTTTTGTTTTGTTTTTTTTTTTTTTTTGGGGCTTTCATAATAAGTGAAGAGTATTAATTTTAAATGTGTTGTGGCTTACGTTTTTCTTGCATTTGTATGCTTTTGTTTTATAATGTATCTAACCTTCTTTTGCTTTGCCTTGCAGTTTCTTCTTCTTTCTATTCATTTGTATTTTAAAATCTACAGTTATGTGTTATTTTTTTGTTTTTTGTTTATCTTTAGAAATTTGTAGTTAAACATTTTGTTATGCTTTGCTGTTAATGGGATTAATGCGGCCTGTTTAAATTGATAACAAATTTAAACAAATTAAATGGGTTTGCGCTGTGTGAAAATGGTTTTGGTTTTCTCTTTTTATTGCGTATTTTTTTTTAAATTTATTTATATTTTTGGAGAGTGGGGGGGGGGGGGGATGGTTTGTTGATGTTCACAATTTATGTAATTATGTATGTATGTATACATATGTGTTTATATATGCATTCCAATTGTTCATTTTTATTTTATTATATATATAAGTATTTATTTAAATATTATAAATATAAATAATGTTTGGTTTTCTTTTTGTTTTTGTTTTTATGTATTTAACACGTTTCTCATTGAGTTAAGAACAGTTGCTGCATTTTTTATTTGTTTATAATTTGTTCGCTGCGCTGTTTGTCGTTTATATCTTTATTATTAAATTACACCAAAAACAAAGTAGAATTTGTTAACAACAATTGGTTTTTTTTTTGTTTTTTTTTTCCTTTCTTTTCTTTTGTTTTTATTTTATAATATCATATTTGCGCTAAATTATGTGGCTTGCCAATTTTAACCATTTGCTATTTTTTGCCTAAATTGTTAACTAAATAAAATTCTCCTAACAAATTAAGTTGTGTATGAGTGTGGGTTGTATGTGTGGGTTGTGTTGTGTGTGTGTGTGTATGGGTTGTGTGTGTGTGGGGCATTAGTTAGCGTTGGGTAGTTTTTAGCTTTAGCGCTATGTTTAGTCATGTTTATGTTTTTGCTTTTATTATATTTATTTTTATTCTTGTAGCTCTTTGTTTTAGTTTTTCTTTGGTTGTTGCTGTATTTATTTTGCAGTATTATTACTTTAGCTTGTCTTGGTTTTTGTTTTTGTTTTTGCTTGCTTTGCTACGTTTTTGTGTGTGTGTTTTGTCACTGTTTTTTATTTAGCGTGACTTTGCTTAACTTTCATCTTAACCTTCATTTTATTTATTTATTTAATTTTCTTCTTGTTTTTTTTGTTTTGTTTTTGTATGCCTAATTCACGCTTCTTCGTCATTTGCATCCTTTTACGGATCCCGGCTATACTTTTGCTTCTCCGCACTTCCTGTTTGCTGATCTTGTAGCTTTTAGCCTTTTACTGATGCGTTTCCATTGCGTTTCTCTTAGTCGACCATTAACTCGAAGTGGACGGATCCTCTCCTATCCGAGCGATCATGATGGATGTTGTGAGCCCAGGCTTTGCACTCAATGTTGATCAAGACGCCGGCTAGCGAGGGAAAGAAAATTATCAATTAAATATTGTTACGAAAGATATGATATTCATTCACAATAAGCATAAAGTAGTCGCCCAACATGAAAACCAAAGACAAAGGTCTTGATTTGGATGAACGAAATTTTCTTATTTTCCCATATTTTTCATTGTTTTCTTTTCACCAAGCAATAAGTAATTATCTACCTCTAAACAGAAAGTACGTATGAAGCGTTGTTTTTCAACTCTTGACCAGATATACAGATCTTAATACAAAATTTCCTAGTCGAGCTTTCAATAAGGTCATATTTAAAAGGTGTGGTGCTATCAAAAAGAATCAATAGAGTTTTCTTCAATTTCTTTTTAAGTTCGACAGAATTTCATAGAATTTTAATAATTTTTATGTAAAGTTAATGGTTATTTCTGCTGACCAAACAAGAATTTGATCAGAGGTCCGTTTGGCCGAACTCCTTCGAACGAAAAGCCAATAATGAGGCTCCTATTATTCTGGTCCCGATATTGGAATGCAGCAAATTATTGCTTCTGCAGTTGCTGTCATTCTGTCAATCAATTCAATCCTCGAGCAGCTTGTCCGTTCAGTCAATACAGTTTTGTGATTCAGCCAAGCAGACTTTACGATTATGTTGAAAATTAGCGAGAAGATTATTCGAATAAAAAATTGTTTATCTCAACAGCCATGTTAGCAAGGTACAGAGGAAGTAGTTCTCATATATAACACTCAACAATAATACATATGCTAAAATATAATAATTTCCATTTTCTAATATATATCGCACACATATTTGTTGCCTACTTTTAGGCGATGGGTTCTTCAATATTTGCCTATTTGTTTGAAAATGGAACTGAAAGCTTCAGCTTCTTTGGAATTGTTACCAATCCGATTAACCCATTTGGTTGCGATTAAACTGGTTGGCTAAGCGGGTTAATGGCTTAGTTATCTGCTTTTGAAACAAGACCAGAGAAAATGGGACTTAAGAAACATAAAAGATTCCATTCGCACACTCCAACTTTTGTTTCAACCTGAGGAATTATTAAAGTTTATTGTGCCGTAAAATTGGGTTTCTAGACGTTTTCCTCTTCTCTTTTTATTTTGAGTTGTTTTATTTTGCGGCATTCGGGTCGCTTGCAGCTCTTTTGTCTTTGGGCACGCAGGTGGGCTGGGAATCGGGAGACTCGTACGTTTGGCATTTGATATGCGTTTGATTAAAATGCCAGACAGCTTTCCCATTGTATGACTGCTTCCTGAAGCATGTGGAGCATAAAACTCACATGCCTATTTAACTGATTCTAAGCCTCCTATTCATTTTACACTATCTCTTCCTTTTTTGTTAAATGCAAAGCAGAAACTGTAATCATTTCTGGTGCTTCAATCAATGAATAAATTAGGGGTAAGCTTTGAGTGGAATATCCGGTTGAATTCGTGAACCAAATTTGGCTGCTGGCAGTGTTTTTATAGACCGCAAATTTATAGATTCGAACTTGTTTTATTCAAAGGCAGTTGCAAGCTCTGACTGTGAATAATCTTCTTCTTGGTATAATAAATTACGTTGAGCAGATTATGATTTTATATTATTCGCAGTTATTTATTATTTTATTAGTTTAGAATTCATCTCACTTAGTATATTGACTATATTATATTGCCCCATATTGAATAGCTAAATCTTACATATATCATGCTTTTATTTTAGGAACTGTGTCTGGCTTGTCCTTAGATGAAATAAGATTTCATCATTTCATGCAAATGGGCTTAGTGAAGGACATATGGATATTTCAACGAAATGCATGTCTAAACTTTCATTTTGTAATGCGATGGAAATACTTAAAGGTAAGAGTTCCTATATATAAGTAACCCCCGAAGCTGTTGCTTTCTCACAGCAGCCCAATTAATGAAAAGCTACTTACTTTCAACGGTGAACTGAACAGCAACAATTGGCGGTATATATCCCTCAATGTTTTTGAAAGGGAAGTAGAAATGGGGGAAACCCATGCGAGGATAATAATCACGTGCCTTAATGTTTTCGACATCAGCTGGATTTTCACCCTCGCATGACACCCAAACAACGCCAGTCTATAAAGAAAATGAAATAGCAGAAAGTTGCAAATTGTTATTAGTTTTATTAGTGCCCAAGGCAGGCGTACCTCATTTGGCCGCAGGCTCTGCTTCTCCTTGATGTGCTGCTTCAACTCCTCGGGCATGTCACCGGGCAAAGCTTTTGAATCGTTGTAAATTTGTGGTACCCAGTTGTAAATCTAAGGAAATCGATTTGTAATTCTTTGTCTATTTCTATTGGTGTTGGCGTAGTCGATTACCTTATTCAACTTGAGGAATATGCAGGGTCGGGCCACATGATAACCAAAGTTATTATCCTCAGTGCAGGGCGCAAAGCTACTAACTTCAACGCCGCAGACTTTGCCCTCGCTTGGCAGATGGTCAAATGAGCAGTTGACGTGATTCTTCTTGGGTAGATCGTCATAAGCTGAGAGTATAAAGATTTCAAATATTTAAAAAGCTCTAAGCAACCACTTGAAGTTAGTTCTCTAATATATAGTTAGCATTTGTTAGATAGCTTTTCAAATACATTTAGCAATAGTCACTTTTTATAGAACATTTATTTCACTTACTGTGATCTTATTATTTGTTTATTCACAAAAACCAAATGTGTCACGAACAAAAATATATAAACAAATATTAACAAAAATTTTTAATTTATATAAAAAAACTTCGAAACTTGCTTTAACTTGCATTAATATAAATTTGATCAAAAACATTAAACAAATAAAAAAAAATATAACAATTTCTCTAAAAATAAAATCGTTAGTAATATATAAAATATTTAACAATTAATAAAAGAAAACAACAAATTGTTAGTCACAAAGACTTTTGAAGTGTAACTTACATTTCAGAAATCGTGCAGTTTCCTCAACCCAATACATGTAATTATCTTTCTTCGATGATTCGTACCAAACTAAAGTGCTCTCAACATTCGCCTCTGGGGGCATTGGTCGAAAGCCAAGACCTGTAAATAAAGTTAATAAGAATAGTGTTGTGAAACGGCAAAATAGTCTAGTGAAACAACAATAATAGTGTTGTGCATTGTCTTGTGAAACGAGAAAAACAGTGTTGATAAACAGCAAAAATAGTCTTGTAAACAAGAAAAACAGTGAAACGACTCGTATATAAGTATGCTCCGAAACTATTTATAACACTTTTATTTAGTCCTTTTTTTTTATTTATTTTTTCTTTTTCCGACCACACGAAACACACTCTCCGTCCGTATGTATGATAATCGATAAATTTCAAGTAATCGATAAAACTTGATTTCGTTAGCCTAATTTTGAGAAATCTATTTGGTTTTAATAGCTACAGTCATCAAATTTGACATTTAGCCTCTAGAATATCAATCAAGTATCTTTCATATTATAGGTGACGCTGTTCAGGGTATTCCTTAGTCCCAAATAGAGCAGTCTTACTTGTTTTTTTTTTTTTTAATTTATTCGAGTAATAGTCTATCATGGTACAATTTTTTTTTAATAATATATTAATTCCTTCAATATTTTCCTATATTTTTTTTAAATAAACCGAAATAAATGTTTATTTCAATTAAACTCTAATAAATAATATATTGATTTTATAATTATATTCCTTACGTTTCTATTCAGTAATATTCCCTTTAAATTGTACTGCAGTGTCTATTTGTTTATTCCAATCCATTCTGTTCTATTTTATACGCTTAATTTAAGCAACAAAAATTATTACGATTTTTGATTGTCTTTGTTTTTCAAGGATTTGACAATAATCTAGTTATATACGAGCTTCATATATATTAAATTCCTTAAACATTCTTTATTTTCGATTTTATTTTTGAAATTTACCTGGATTCGATCCAATCATTCCATTGTCAAGCATCCATTTGGGTTTATCAGCCTCCAATGTTTGATAGAACACCGCAAAAATGGCAGCAAAGAATCCGGTTAACGCCGCGTAGAATATAATATAGAAAAGTAAAATTTTTGCTGCAAGAAAAGAGACAAAAGCTCGTTTAATATTTTATTTAGAATATAAATGTGGTTTATAAATGCGGTAAAATTATTTATAAATTCGCAGCGCCAAAAAGTAATTAAATTTTGTTTTATGTGTGCCACGAGGAGGCTTAATTAATTTTGGGCCCAAGGACTATTTGTATGACACATTTATTGCTGTTGCCACGCCCGATTTGATATCCTCGTGCGCGGTATTTTAATAGCTACCACAAACTGTGTTATTCATAAAAAAAAAAATATTTCCGAATTCCATTAAATTCATGTCCTTACAGAGACCTTCTATGCAAACTATTCCCCACGTTTAAATGAGTATTGATATGGCTATTATTCCAAGCAAGCCCAAATATGTCCTAATCAGCTCCATCGTAGCTTTGGGAACGTTAAGCATATTATTATATCATTAGAGCTAATATACTTTGTTGACTTTCTAGTTAAGTATTAGAATTTATAAAACAGTGGACGTTTAAATTCTAATTACTTAAGTCAAATTTTGTTGGATACAAAATTAATGTTTTTAATTATATTGTCAAAGGATTTCTGTAATTAAACATACTCAAAACTGCTTGAGCATAGAAAACAAATCAAAACAAGCTAACAAACGAAATAAAAATTTTAGATTCAATGATCATTTGTTTGCTTGGACTATTATAATATATCCATATCAGCGCATGCTATAACTAAGATTTGTGCCCATTTCGTAAGGACAATTATGAGCCTTGGAATTTGCAATTTGCGAGCGACCAGTATATCCATAGCAAAACTTTTTAGTCAAATAACAAGTAAGACGTTAATGCGCAAAGTTGGCTTATGTCTTGGCTAATTGACAATGTGGGGCAGTGGGTAGGTGTGGGTAGGCGGGAAGGCTAGTAACCACGACAGTTTGCTGTCTGCCACACCCCCCTCACAGTTGTGTACCTACCACATTGCTCTACGATTACACAATGAACGACATTTGACATTTTCTTGGCTCCAGCTGCAAGTAAATCTGGAGAAGGTCGTTCGTGTGTGTGTGTGTGTGTGTGTTTGTGTGTGATTGGGTGTGCTGTGCATTCCACTATCCACACAATACTCCGCTCTGTACTCACGGCCAGAGTTAACTAGTTTGTCATTTTGACATTTCTGTTTTAAAATTAAAATTGATTGAAAGGTCGCTGAGTTTTGAGTATTTGTTCCGTTCCTGCTCTCCTTTCCAGCGCTCTTATTTTATATTTAGCTGCTAGAAGAAATCAAGCCGCGTCTCCCGGGTCAAATGCATCATGTTGAAAATGCAATTGGAACCGAACTTGTACAGATAATATGCGACATTCAAATTTAATGGAAGAAATTAACTGAATTCATTTAAATAAAAAGTTTTCCTATTTAAATTCAAAATAATTTTTATATTTTATCTGCCGGTTCCAAGGGAGTGCCGATCCCCAACTTTCATCCTCAGTTTAAAGGTATTTTATAATAAAAAAAACTCTTAATTTCGGTTGCTTTTGAACAGGCGCCCCATCGCTTGCTAGTTCAACGCTAAGACACCTTTTATAGACTCATGAAGTCACGTTCGTAAAGTACACTTATATGGCTGCATTGTGGTTGATGTTCTACATACAAGCATTGACCGCCGTTTTCCCCCATTTGGAGGTTGAGTTTTCCAAAACCCTGTCCTAATGCTCGCTTTCAAACTAAAAGCTAGCTTTTGTAAAAGTTTCAGTTTTCAAGCCTGTTTAGGTGCTCTGTCTTTTATATAAATGAATTGGCTGTCATGTTGTTTACTTTTTTAAGATAAGATTGCCCTAAATTACGCATACGCCATGTGACGCAGAGCGAACTGTGAATAAACTAATTTATAGAGAGGAAAATATGTTGGAATTGGCATTGGCATTGCACAGCAATTTACGAAAGTCATTAATCATCTGCTCAGAGACTTTGAAAATTGTGTGCACCGTGGGAATTCTGCTGAGCTAACACGATTGGCAGCGGGTTAAATTTAGAAATAATTAAAGAGTGAATGGAAAGCGCAGAGTAGAGCTCAAATACCAAAGGGTTTTAATGGCAACTAAGAAAACTACTTTTTTTGTTTATAGTTTAACTAAGTCAAACAGCGCAAAAAATTAAAATTAAATTAGAATAACGTAAAATTACATTAGAATCGTAGTCCTAAGATTCCCAATCATTTGGACAACTGATCAACTGAACTCTGAATGTATTATTAATAAATATATATTTTAATAATATAAATAAATCAAAATTCGAATCATTTGAAAAATACAATCCAGTACAATACAAGCTATAAATATTGCAATATTCTTTATCGATTGTTGAAATTAAAATTTGTATAATACGAATTGATTTTGCTTCGAAATAGATATATGCATGCATGTTTTAAAATTCAAAATTAAAAAATAATAAATAATTTTGTTTTTTAGACACAGGATGCAGACTATATTAGTTTGGGAGGTCTTAAATAAAAATTGTCAAAATCAGGCGAGCTATGTGATTCGATAACAAATATAGTATTTAACATCCTGTTAAGTAGTACGCTTATTTTCAAGACCTTTTGAAAAATACTTGAAAAGAATTCTGCTCACGGTCAATTAGTTGGCAAGTATTGCCAATAGCAAAAGGGCGCATGCGCTCTCCACAATTCTGCTGCCCAACTGGCTATTGCCAATGCGCCCGCACTCTAACGAATTCTCATGGCCATATACAAGCAAGCATATATATATATATATATATTTGTATATACATATATCTGGTATATAGCGATAGATAGCGTTATTTAATGGCTTCATTGCTTGAGAAGCAACTGTCCAAACAGGGCTAAAATCCGACTATCTATATAGTAATAGGCATAAATTATAATAATCTGACTAAAAATATTTTTTTTTCAACAAAATGTATTTTTATCTTGACTTTTTAATTAATCCTTAAATTTATAATTGGCTTTGCTGGGCGAGTTCCCAAGTCAATTGGGTTGCGGAAATTATGGAAAGACGTTAAACATTTTCATCGCCTTACGTAATTTGGTTACGTTACGTAGGCAGTTAAATAAAAATGTACGTTTGCATGGCAACACTCGAGCTAACTTCACGGATTCGCTGGGGAGGACAAAAGCAGCGCCAGCAGGGAGCCTTCTTTGCAGTTGGTTGTGCTTTTTATTCTGAATTTTCTTATTGTTATTCCAATGGGTGTGCCTGTGTGTGTGTGTTTGTTAGTATCTATGTGTGTGTGTGTACATGTGTGCGCTTGAGTGTATTTCTGCACTTAACGAGCTGGTTGCTCTGGTTTCAGTGGCCGCAGTGCCTTTTCCTACTGCGGTAGGTGGGGCTCTTGAAGATAGAGCTCGGCTACGGCTGCGGGGTGTGAGTTTCTCAGGCTACGCGATGTGCTTTTTGGGTTTTGGGGTAAACAGCTGTTTTATTTTGCTTGCAAGGCAAATACGCTAAGCCGTTCTAAATGTTAAGTGCCGTCGACTGCACAGCATATAAATTATGTAGCTCTCGTCCCGTAGTCTCAGCTCCTACAGAAATAAATGTAACCCGTATGAGGCAATGGTTAAATTTATCCGACTTAATTGAATGCGCTCGAAATATTTGCAATATATCTTAAATTCGCATAGTGCATTATAATATATTTGCGGAAATGTTGAACAAAAACCAAGAATCAATTTAAGTCCACCTGACTTTTGATGCTTGGCAATAAGTAGAATTAATTATTTAAAAATAGTAATAGCAGAAAGTATGTGCCATAAAATGAGGTATACTATCCTTATTATTATATATTATATAATATTGTTTATATTTTATAATATTAAATATATAATAATATAGTTATTATATAATATTTATATTTTATATAAATTTTATATATTTCGCTTAAGAAATAAAATATATCGAATCTCAGAAAAATATTATTCAAGAGGCGCGTACGTTGGGAAACCTATAAACTTTCTTAAAAGTTATTTTGCCTCTTTCTTTTCATTTTTATTAAGTGCACATATCGAAATTTCTGAAATCTTAAAAACATCGCTTTGCATAATTCAACTCGCTGAATATTATGTTTTTAATTTTTCAGAAAATGAAAGACAAAATAATTTAATATTATTTTTTAATTTTGATAAATATATAATTTGATTTGGTTGGTAAAACCCAAATAGATATCGCATTATATAATATATATACATGTATATATTTATTTTTAGATAACTTGCTATTTTATGGATACAGAATTAGCAGAGTTTAATTTAAGCTTTTGATTAGTTCGCAGGCTTGTGCATAAATGTAATTAGTTGTTAGGAGCTGGTAGAACCTTTGAAGTTTTTTCGTTGATAGATAACTTAGGTGGGTTCTGTCTTAAAACACGACGCCAACATTTTTTACTCTTTACCTATGTGTATGTGTGTGTGTGTGCGTGCTCATGGTGCCGTTGAGCACCTGCCAGGTCTCAGTGGAACATTAAGTATACGCAGCATTGTGCGCGGACTCTCCGCCTGCGAGTGCTCTCTCTCTCGCTGCCTTCCTTTCTCTCTGTCACTCTCTCGCTCTCTCTCTCTCTCTCGCTGTCCTGCTCTTTGTAGGTCTCTCGGCTGAACTTTGCCATTTGCACAGCTGCCGCAATAATGTAACAAACTGTGCTGGTATGCGATTGTGTGTGTGTGTGTGTGTGACTGCGTTGTCTGCATGTGTGCTACAGTTGCAAGCTGTATATACACACACATACACGCACAAAAGAATGGCGTCCACTTCGTCCTCTTTTTTAATTTCAGCTTCAATTTTACCTTTCAGCGGCAGCTATGGGTGCGGGTTGGGCTTTTGGTGCGGGTCGTTACGAGTGCTTCCCATTTGCTCTGTTAATTTTGACAGTTGCAGAAAAATAAGAAAATTACATGCACACACAAGAGCTGGCACACAAAAAAAAAAAACAAAAAAAAAAAAACTGACCAGCAAAATGGAGCAGAAAATACAACTGTCAACATCAGGATTCGCAAC